AGAGTGGGGGGTGCTGCGGGGAGCAGGCCGCTTACCAGGAGGAGACGCTGTATGTGGCTGAGCTGCTGTCGGTGTCCAGGATGTTCTGGTCTGGCCCCTTCCAGGTGATGGTGGGCTTCGGCCGCCCGCAGACCTTGCACTGCAGTGTCACTGTGTCCCCAAGCAAGCAGGTCACATCCACCAAGGGCACAAGGAATTCTGGGGCCACTGCAGTCAAATGGACATAAATTCACATCATTCGGAACCGGGAACAAAACAGCCACTTTCCCACACCTGACTCTCGTTTCCCACCCATGATGCATAACTACTCAGCTAACCTTCGCTTAACACTGCCGAGTCACCTGTGCCCCACGAAAAGGTATTTTAAAGGCAACAAGTGTTTATTGTGACAAAAAATTAGAAAATACAGGTAAGCAAAGAGGAGAAAAAGCTTCGTGATGTCATGATTCAGAGGTAAGTACTGTGAGCATCTGGTATAGATGCTCTTAGGTTTCATATCCACGCACGTGGTCTTACCCAACTTGAATCCCATTACCCACACTGCACCTGTGGTCTTCCCACCCTAACAGTTCGTCATAAACATGCTTCCCCATCTAAGTACAGCCTGGCCTCACACTGTTTAAAGCAGTGGTTCTCAACCTTGGCTGCACATTAGAATCACCTGGGAATCTTTCTAAAATCCTGATTCCTGGGCCTCATCCTCCGGAAATTCTGTTTCTTTGTGATGGGGTGGGGCCACAACATTAGTAACAAAGAAACAGAATTTCGGGAGGAATTTCCAGAGGGTGAGGCCCAGAAATCAGGACTTTAAAAGATTCCCAGGTGATTCTAATGTGCAGCCAAGGTTGAGAACCACTGGTTTAAAGGCTCCATTTCTGTGCTGTGTTTGCATAAATGGTTGAGCCAATCCCCGTGCTCTCAATTCTACCACTTTTTAAACTCACCTTCTTGGATGAAATTTGGATTTAAGATCTGAAAAACAAAAAGAAACAGAAAATTGCTGAAGTCCTAACCCAGTATCAGAGAACGGAGACTTCTACCCTATTGAGTAAAAAGAAGCACAGGTTAGGGGGGCAAGCCCAGAGCCCCGCCTCCGTGGTTTGTGACCGTGTCACCATCACAGTGATGACGAAGGGCCCTGCCTTACTCTCCTGTCTACTCTGGTCAGTCGCATTCCTCCGAGTGCCCGGGCACAGGCGGGGCTGTGCTGGCCACAGCAGGCCTTTCTTCTCCACCGCCTGAGCTGCTCTTCTCGCTGCCACGTGTGTGCCCACCCTGCCCACCCTGTTCGGCACCCACTCATGTATTGTGATGGCAGCGATTCTTCCCAGCATCATGAATTTTCAAAAACAGAGGACCTGACATTTATCCAATTGGAAGGGTCAATGGCATGAACGACTAACCACAAACCTAGTGGTTTCCTTCCAAACGGACCCTTCCCCCAAAGCAGGGAAACATCTCCCCAAGCAGCTACATGCCCATCCCTCTTGTCCCCAGCATGACCTCCTGCATCCCAGGCCTCCATAGGGCAACTCAAGAGCCACTGACCTAATGGGTTGAGCCCTTTGGCTGCAGAGGGGAGAAAATGGAGACTTGGGCTGACTAGACTTGTCTGGTGCCAGGGCCGGTTGGCAGAGGCACCAAGGGAGCTCTTGGCACATCCCACGCTGACTGCCTCGTGACAACACAGGTCTTCTCAGAAAGAAACACCTTCCAGCCTCGCCATGCAGAAAAGTTACCTTTCCTCAGGGGGCGGAAGCCTCGATTTCTCTCCCCTCTTTGTATGACCTCTAACCAAGTAAGTCCTGGTGATCATGCCTGGCAGGAGGACCCAAACAGGGCCTTTGGAGTCAGAGAGGCTGGGCTCATCTCTTCTATTTGATGTGATTTCATGCTAATTACTTGAAATTTATTAGCATCGATTTCATCTACTATACAATGGGAACAAGTAATGCTTCGTGCAAAGTATTATGAAAAATAATTTATGTCAAGTGCTTAGCACTATGTTTGACAAGAACAAGTCTTCGATGACTTTAAACACAGATGATCTCATTCTGATCATCCCTCTTCTGCTAAGCAGCTTATTGTGGCAGCGGCTTAGCTCTAATAACTTATCTGGCAAACTCTTCTTTCCTTCATAGTGAAGCCGGAAAGCTGATGTGCCGTACAAACAGCCCGGGGGCGTTCACACTTAGCGCCCCGTATGTAATTTGGAGGGGAACATGGCTTCTGTGTGCTCCTCCCTACACAGGCAGCCGGATGCCCTTGGGAACAGAACTGCGTGTCCTCCGGGTTCTCCTCTGCAGGCCCGATGCCCAGGATGCTACCCAGGTTTTCAAGAGGCGGGCTGCCCAGCAGGCCTGTGATTCCAGGCCTGGGGCTGAGTGGCCCGCAACTGGTCACTGCAGCGCCCTCTGCTGGTCTCGAGAGGCCATTCACACCACTGTCTGGCCTCCCTTTAATTGTTGGTTCTCAATCTTTGACCTGGACAGCTTGGAAAACACAAAAAGACCAATGCCAGGGCCTCACGCCCAGAGATTCTGTTTTAATTAGTGTGTGTGTTGGGGGGATCCAGGCAGCGGGAGCTCTGAAAGCTGCCTCAGGTGCGTCAACATGCAGCCTGGTTTGAGAGCTCCGGAAAGTACCCTCAATTCAAGGGAACGGCTCTCAGAGAAAGCACTTCCTGCCCCTGAGGCTCTCCTGAGATGGGGTGGGTGGGGGTAGGTGTATGTGGGGGAGTAGGGGTGTGTGTGTGGATTTGGTAAAAGCTTCTGCCTTCCCCACATCTAAGAGACTCTGCTATGTGAGGAGACATGTAGGGGACTGCCCCTAACCATGGGGGGCAGCGCCCCATCATTTGTCGGGGGTGCTAAGGAGGCCATGCATTTACCCGCCTGGCTTAGGTTGAGGCAAAGAGAACAACATCCGAACCAGCCATCTCACAGCCACAGAACAAGAGACTAAGAATATCGTGTGAAGTCCCCAGTGGTTTTCTCAGGATGAGGTAAAGGGCGGCTTTCCCCCCATTCAAACCACATTCGCCGTCTCTTCTGGGCTGGTGTAAGGTTTCGTGGACACGGAGGTGTGGGCCATAGGCCCTGCCCTCAGGATTTGGAGAATGCTGCCTGGATTTGGGTGATACTTTTCTTTCTCTTCTTACCCGGCCTTTCCAAACATTCTTCAGTCAGAATGTCTCACTTCTTAATAACTTTTCCTTCAAGGAGAAAAGGCGCAGCCAGAGCCATCGACTGTAGGCTCTTCAAGGACAGGAGCCACTCGTCATTCCCCTTGTACCTCAGGCCCGAGCATGGGGTCTGCTGCGCTCCGGGCATTGCAGACATGTTGGCCGAATGAGTGTTTGATCTTTGTTCTCATTTCAGTTCTCCTGAGAATTGAGGACTGGTTCACAAATAGGACCTGGAAATAGGGCCAAATGGTCCATAAAATAATCCCTCTGGTATATTGCAATTTACCAGAGCCTGTTTTCAAACACAGGTGGCAGGCAAACTTTTGGGGAAGTGATTAAAAAGCAACAAAACCAGTTGCCTCTGAGAGAGGAGGTGTCTGGGCACGAGGGGTTGAGAACTCTGAGCAGAGAGAACGCGAAGAACCCAGACCCTAAGCCAGACCAGCTCTCCTGCCTTGGAAACATTCTTCAAGCAGCTCGGGCCTCGGTTGTGTCTGTGACTTGGGGACAATAATGCCCACCTGGAATGGTGTTGGGTGGGAGGACTCATTCACTGATGAGGGTTCTTTGTGAGCTGACCCTTGGTCAGGTGGTGGTGTCGGCAGGGAAGAAGGCAGACATGCTCGCTGCCTTCCTTGGGAATCCGCTGTTGAGTCTATGGGATTAAATGACATGGGTTCAGTGGCCGGGTGGGGCCTGGCTGGTGTTACTGACCAGCCTTCCACAAGCAGGAAGCACGGCCCTCACCCTACCCCGCCTCCACTCCACCAGAAGGACTCCGGTAAAAACAATTTGGGAATGTGGCCAACTTTGCTCAGTGGCCTGTCTTTCCCATCCCGATGGGAATCCACAAGGACCAAGACAGGGAGTCCACGCAGGGGCCTCTGAGAGGACACAGATGACCGGTGGGAGAGATGAGTGGCAGTTCCCAGGTTATAAAATTGTACGTGGGGTTCACACCAGGCACTGTGCAGCACTTTTATAAGACAGCACCCCCACTGCTGCTTAGAGGACTTCTCGCCTTCTTTCTCGTTCTCATCACGCCAACTGCGGTAAGTACGTTATTAAACACGTGCTCTGGTTAGAAAGCAGGTCCTCCCGGCCTGGGTGCAGGCTTCAATGGGGAGGTTGGAGAGAAAGGTGGCCAATAGGCTCTATTGCAGGTTCTCTATCTACAAGGGCTGGGGGGAGGCGCCTGTCCTGATTGCGCTGCACGAGGCTGGCCCAGGTACTGCTGGGAATGGTGACAATGGCACTGACTTGTGCAGCCTCCGGAGTCGGCACAGGCTACTCACAGCCTCCTTCATTGCCCCCCCACGCCCCCGGGGAGGAAGTGCCGCACCGGGGTCATTTACTTCCGTTTCCAGATGAGACAGGAAGTCCATGTAAGATCCAGGAGACGGTGCAGAGGACTGGCCCTGACCGCTCCTTCCGTTACAGCATTCGGTGCAGAGGCAGGGTTTTGGGGAAAGTGTGTGAAAGTTAGTCGCTGATGCCAAAGGCCTACCTGCTCACCTTTGCTCTCCAGCCCATCTCTACCCCATCCTCCTCGTTAAACTCCTCCGGCAAGGACCAGGAGCCCGGGCAAACCCATGCTCATGATTTCGTTAACTTTGACTCTGGGTTGTGTCCATAGAAGATTCCTCCTCATTTTTCTTCTTTCTACGTGGAAGCAGATCCGAACGTGGACGGGAGGAGGGTTGTGACCGCCTCTCACGCTGTAGTGTAGGAGCCTCTGTATTGGTCTATGGCTCCCTATGGACGGACTTCAGGGACCAGGTGGGCACAGACCGTGTTTTGTTGAGTGTTAATGCCTCAGAGCCAGGCACATATTTGTCGGAGCCAGGGAAATGTAAAGGGGTGGGATCCTAATTTGGGGGAGGAGAGGGGAGAAAATGTCTTGCACAAACTTGGGTGTTTTCCTATTCCCATTACTTGGAATGTGACTTGCTCTGACTTCATCACCGGCCCGTGTGGGGACTCAGCCAGTAGTGCTCTTCCCTCCTCCATGCTCTTCCCATAGCCCTGACCACGTGCCCATCTATCCTAGCATCTTCCCCGCAGTTACTGCCCCACCAGGCTGTGAGTCCTTTAAAGATGGCCACCCTTGTACATGTCCCATGTACCACTTGTTATGCTGCTTAACAGAGTATTTTGCACATAGCAGGAGGTCAAGTATTTGTTGAAGCAAATTCATGGAGGTCACACAATTAGCAGATAAGGACACTGGACTCCTGACCGCCTTGTCTAACGATCACTGCTCATGTGTGAAGGGACCTGAGGTGTCAGGCTGGGACCTGAAGGGCTCATTGTAAGCGGCCCTGTTTCTTGAAAGTGAATGCTTCCCTTCCTTAGGAACAGTCTTGGGGGGCCGTGCAGAGTGGCAGACGGGAAAGGGGGGAGAACTGGAACCCAAGACGGATGTGGTCATGGAGAAAGGTGACGCTGTTTATGTGAAAGGCACATGCTCTCTCTCTGGGAGACCAAAGGCCAGAGGACGGGCCTGGCATAGACCACGTGGGGAAGAGCTGCTGAGGACCCGGGTTTATTTGAACAGCAGAGGGCGGCAGGGGGTAGTGCTTCCTCCTGGATGAAGAAAACCACCACCATGTGGTCCATCGCCCCTTCGTTCTTCCGGCTGGAGAGAATACCAGTGTCTCCTGGATTTTCCTTCAAAGTGGGAGGGCAAGGAGGTAGCAGGAGAGAATGACAGGTAAAATCAACCAGCACCGAGGAGCAAGCTGAGCTCTGAAGACATCTTGAGTCTATTTTTCTTGCCAGATAA